TCTCTAGAACCAAGATGTGATGGAATTTGGTCTTATGTCATGGGTTGCTTAAGATAGTGGCATCTTATCTTGTCTTCATACAACCCCCTTTGATTTCTATATTGAAAATTGTTCAAAGAAATGCGATCATCTACATGCCCTTCTTTATACAGCAAGATGGTGAGTGTATAATTTGATATGGAACTAAAGCTCCAATGGATCACAAGGTTACCACATATATATACAGCTGAGGGAAAGTATAATTAGGGTTGTTTAAATTTATTTTTGTTTTGAGTCTCTTGAATCTATCAATATGCATGTGAGTATAGAGGTTTCCCAAGGTCTAGTATGTATGTACTGATGAATATGCATGCCTGCTTAGATCTCACTCGACTCCCTTTTAAACATTTTGAGGCATCATTAACTGATAATTGATCGATAAGCTTGATTAATTGCGTACATTCTAACATAAGCCTCCATTTGGTTAATTTTTAAAACAACTAATTAAACGGAATTTTGCTACCTAATTTCTTCCCCTAAAGGAAATAGGCAAATGAGGAAAATATTGGTGTTCAAGATACCCTATGTTGTTGCACGGCGGATTTATATTGCAGGTTTGAGTATATGTGGTTATGGTTGCTAAATCGGGGATTTTAGTCATCTTTGGGTTGTGCACGCGTGATTCTCTCTAGATCAATTCAATTTGTTGTTGCGTTTGATCACTAGATAATATTTATTCATATTCATCACATCATTGCTTGTACTTGTGTTTGTTTATCAATAAAAAACCTATCGCTTAAAAAAAAATTGGTGGATCTCCTTATTTGATATTGATTAGCAGCCTTGAGATTCAAGTACGAATGAGAAAGAAAACCTAGATATGCTTCGTTTGAAGAGATATTTATAAGGGTCGGTGCAATTTTATTATCCATGCAGTGCTTATCACCGGACCAGATAATGCCTCTCAATTTTCCTACTTAATTTGAAGGTGTCGGCCTATACGCCACCCTGATTAATTATACCTTTTAATCTTAATACAAATCTAGGTGGAGCTAGCTCTCCTAATGAAGATAAATTCACCTTTTTTGAACTTGCAAGTGGTTTTATTTAGACTAGAAAGCTCAGTTAGAGACCATCTCTGAAGTCATTAATCGGGTCTTGAAGTCAGAGTTAATTGACCTTACGAAGAATTAGAAGATGATTATGGCTTAGTTAACAAATATAAACAAGTTCCTGATGAAAACATAAATTCAGAAATCATATATTTTTTACCAATGTTTCTCTCTCTAGCACATGTAGATGCTCTCAAATCTCGAGGATGAAACTAAACCAAATGCTAGCTAGCTAGCTGTAGCCATGCAGGAATATTTCGTACAAATGTTTAAATTATAGTGATAGGAAGAAAGAAAGATCACAAACTTAAGAACCCTAGTGGTAAATTAATTAAGCCCCGGAATAGACAACTTGTACACTGAATTTTAAACAAGAGTGCACACATGACGACTCTGGGAAGTTGAGGAATATATATGATTTTTTTGACTGCCATGGCATTTATGTGGGTTGACAACTTTAGCTTATATAATCATGAGGATGTCAACAATGAGATTAGATTAACATAATAGCTTTCATGTGATGCAGATCTAAATTCTTCCCGAGATTGTTTAACCGTTTTATTTTTCTTGAATTGTTTAATTTAAGGGAGGGTGATTCGAACTCTGAATACAATAGAGTGGACAACATTGCTCTAACTAATTAGTCTAACCCACCATATATGTGTAATTGTTTAACCAAAATTGAAAGATTGTCACATTAAAGTTGTCTCAATTGGGCATTATGTTTTTTTTTTTTTTTAACACGAGAGAACATGAGATCAAATTCAGAAAATTATTAAGGGCCCGTTTGGTATTCTACTAAAAAATTATGAATTTTTTTTAAACACGAGTTTTTAAATACTTATTTTAGGATCTTGTTTGGCATTGCACTCTAAACTATTTTTAAGATCTTAAAAAAATTGAAATTAAAATCAGAAAATTAGAAACCCTAATTTCCAAATTGAAAATAAGAAAAGGCAAAGGAGAGAGAGAGAAAGACGAGGGAGAGGGAGGAGAGATAGAGACGAGGGAGAGAGAGGAGAGAGAAAATCTCACTCTTTTGTTTTCAATAATAAGGATGTTTTTGAGTTTTTCTAAAATGGGTCTACCAAATGGATTTTTCCAGATTTGGACCTCAAATATGTTTTTGATTTTATAAAATTAGATCCAAGTAGGACACCAAACGGGTCCTAAATCATTGAGAGTGAGAGACTACTAAATTGACTTCTAAACAAATTAATTAAGTATTAACACTATGTTGTTTTCTTTGTTTAAAGAGAACCTCGTTCACTCAACAAATCATATAATAGAGCGTCCTGAATAAGATCAGAAGGCACCTCAAACCAAATAAAGTTGTCTACATTATGTAAACTGAATCGAGCAAGTCAGCGTTCAACACCATTTGCTTCCTTATAAATAAATTGAAAAAGAGAACCAGAAATCTTTTTCTTGAGATGCTTTACATATTCAACAATGGTACCAACGTTTATAATGGTAATGTTGTTAATGGTAATGTTTATGCCTTTTTAGCATATTCGTATGTTGGCTAGAAATTGCTTAATTAGCAAAATTGGTGAAGTCAAGTGCTATGGTCAATGAATTCCCCATACAATTATGGATTGTATTTGTGAATGCGAAGTCAACTCAACTAGAATGTTGACCACCGAAACGATCAATTAATTAATTCGAGCAGTAATCACGTGTTAACAAGTTAATCATTGATGGATTTTATTGTTAGCACAATCTATTAGGACAGACCTCAATCGAGCTAGGCCCAAATTCTAGTATCCCAAATGGCAAGGCCCAAAAGGAAATTCTTTTGACGCCCTGTAAAGCACCCAACTAAAACAAATACACATCCCTGATTTCAAACAAGAACAAAACTCTGATATATGACACCTTCTAAGAGAAACCAGGAAAACAATTAATTAAATGTTAAATCATTCAATATAGAGGTTAAATTATTGGATTAATCCTCCTGCAATTCAACCTGATCTCGCCAGCTGGACCAATGAGGGGGTTGACGCTTCCCATCTTGATCATGGCAGACGCAAAGTCGTTAAAGAAGGCTTCTTGGTCTTCACTGTAGGTGCGCACTATGGGATCAGTTTTGCCTCCACTGAAGAGCTGCTGATCAGAGTGGAGGAGCCCTTTATTCTGGACAAGGTTTTTGTAGTAGCTGTTGTCAAACACTATTGGGGTCTGAGCATCAAGTGGAGCCAAGTTGGCGTCACCTGAGCCTTTGGATCTTGGGCATTTTACTCTCCTTTTCTGGGCAAGCTCTTTGTTCATGTTGCTCTCATTGTATATGCGCTCTCTGAAGGAGTGGCATTGTGCTTCTCCAAGTGTATGAGCTCCTGGCAGGTAAATATTGATTTTACCAACCAAAAAAAACCACATATTAATATAATGGATTAGTAGACATGAGACAAAATGTTAATTTGTTACGACATTCGAACAAGAGTCCCATCATTGATAACTTAAAAACGTGACATGCTAGTAATACCTAATAAAGCAACCAAGTCTCTCCTTTTAAGCGCAATACCACGGAATCTAAGGACAAGCTCCTTTAAGTTTGCTTTCGGAAGGGGTATGCTGACATTAGTAACAATCGCGTTTGTAGCCCTAGCATCTCTCCTTCCCAATTGAACACCCCAACTTGGTCCCCCAAGCTGCACCATTAGGTGTGAATTAATAAGTTGATTATGGAATTAATCAAGTAGTAAGCAAGTGATTAATTTACTTACAATGGAAACAGAGTCTCTGGCAACAATGGCAATAATATCAGCACATGAGACGATGTCAGGGCACATTTTCTCCACCGCAGACTTGATTTCATCAATCACTTCATATCCCCTCGTAGAATTCTTATTGGGAGGTATATTTTTCTCTCCAATGAAGTTTGGTGCATCATCCAGCAGCAACGACGCATCACATCCCTGCACACCCATAATATTTCTAAGACCACCCAAATTAACAAAAAAACCATGTCACGCGTGATAAATTTCTAAGTTGCATGCATAAAGATGAAGGAGAAGGTGAATTTACGTTAACAAAACAGTCATGGTAGAAGAGGCGGAGGAGAGAGGCTCCCATTCGAGCCTCCTTTTTAATGGCGGATTCAACTATGGATTTCACAGTGGGGAAGAGTTTTGGACAAGAAGTGGCATAAAAACTTGGTGACATTTCATCGATGGCCTTGGCTTCCATGTGCACAATTAGGAGAGCCAAGGTCAAGAAAATGGCTGTTGAGGCATAAGAGGAAGCCATTGATCTCATTTGTGTGTTTTGGTTAATTAGAGAGGCTTTTGGAAACACAGCAAAAAGCCTATGTTGATTAAAAATTTAAATTCGAAGGAAAAAAAAGAAGGTAAATTCAGGTTTGCTAGGGTAGCTACTTATAGACTTAGAAGAATCGACTAACTCAAACTCAAATCCTAGAACTTAGCAGATGAAAGTTCCTACAAAACAGAACAGTAATTCCATCAGTCCACAAACAAGTGTACCCAAGTTGTGCACACATGTTGGCTTTGAACATAACAAACCTTCCCCATCTAGAGTTTGACCCGGATATGTATCTGATGCAACGTTTGATTAATTAATTAAAATCTTAATTAGTAGACTCATTAATCCAATTCCCCTGTTTAAATTCTCTGTCACCATATTATAATGCATTTTGTTCATTGGTGCTTGAGACTCTCTCTCTCTCTCTCTCTCTCTCTCTCTCTCTCTCTCTCTCTCTCCTAACTAATGAAACAGTTATACATTTATGCATAAAGCAACTGAAATTAAATTTGGATTGGAAAGGCATTTTACATAGACCATTAGTGTTTGCCAACGGTCTAATCCGGTGGAAAAGGACCTTGATTTGTAGAATTCTCAGATTCAAATCTCCACAACATCATAATTGTAAAACAATAATAGTATAGATTTATCCATTTAATATATCTCAACAGAATGAGCAGAACATAGCACATTAAGTTACAGCTTTCAAACAAAATTCCAAATCCTTCAAGGTCATTAAACCCAAAACATAGACTAAAACAATATCTAAGCCAATCAATTTATTCAAAGCACCACAGTGAGAAAACAAAGGGGCACTAGCTTAATTGGGCTTCCTGCAATTCTTCCTAATCTCCCCATTGGATCCAGTGAGAGGTTTGATATCTCCCATCTTGATGATGGCGCTGACAAAGTCAGAACTGAAGGTGTTGTAGCTGTTGCTGTAGGTGCGCACTATGGAATCAGTGGACCCACCATTGAACAACTGCTGATCAGAGTGGAGGAGGCCTTTGTTCTGGATGAGGTTCTTGAAGTAGTTGTTGTCAAAGGCAGTAGGGGTTTGAAGATCAAGTGGGGCCAAGTTGTTGTCCCCAGAGCCAGAGGCTCTTGGGCAGTTTGATCGCCTTGTTTGGGCGAAGGAACTATCAATATTGGTCTCATTGTATATGCGGGGCCTGAATTGTATGCACCTTGCTTGCCCAATTGTATGCGATCCTGGCAAATTTTACAAGCCCAAATAAAATAGTTAGAACTTAGAACACTTGATTAAACTAAGACAAAGTAATTTTTGGTCTTAGTAATTTCAATTCTGTCAATTTTTTTCCTCCACTTTCGCTCCCCAAAAAGTACTTATTCTGTCACAGAATTGGACATATCCTTGAATTGGGAAGATATAACACTATACGGGTCAAATTGACATAATTGAAAGCATAAGACAAAAATGGAAACTTTGACAAACTATCGAGACGAAAAGTGATTTTTAACCTTAAAATAATTAATTGGTGTCTAGAAACAAGTCTAGGGTGTGCATCAGAAAAATATAATTACCAGATAAAGCAACCAAGTCCCTGGTGGAAAGGCCAAGAGCATTGAATATAGAGATAAGCTGGTTTAGGTTCCTGGTTGGAGGGGGGATGCTGTTATTAGCAGCGGCCTGGCTTGCAGTTCTTGCGTCTCTTCTTCCCAATTTCACGTTCCAACTTGGTCCTCCAAGCTACATTAATTCACAAATCAAAAACAAAAACGTAATTAATTAACTAATTGGACCATAAATTATTGAGTAGCTAATAAATTAGTTTAACTTACGATGGCAACAGAGTCTCTGGCAGCAATTGCCAATATATCAGCGCATGACACCACACCGGGGCACACATTCTCCACTGCCGACTTTATGTTGTCAACCACGTCAAATCCCCGCGCAGAATTCCTGTTGGGAACTGCATTTTTCTCTCCAGTGAAGCTCGACGTGTCGTCGAGGAGCAAGGAGCCATCGCATCCCTGGAAATTGGCAATTTATTAAGAAATTAAACCCAATGAAGAGAGAAATTAGTTAACCTAGACAACGACATCTTAGAGTACGGGTAGAAAACCAATGTGTCAAACTTGTATTTTCAAAGACATCATATTTATAATGCATGCAGGTACTTTATAACACAGACAATTTTGTTGACCTTTTGGCTCATGATGTCATGTTTGATATATAAATATAATACGAATTTGAAACCTAGGTATGTAACTATTTTATTCTTTTGGCATACATTAACGAAACAGTCGTGGAAGTGGAGGCGGAGAAGGGAGGCCCCCATTCGGGCCTCGTTTCGGATAGCGGATTGCACTGTGGATCTCACAGCGGAGAAGACCCTCGGGCAAGAGCTAGAGTAGAAATTTGTTGAAAGTTGAGCACTTGAAGTGCCCATTTGCAGAAGGAGAGCCAAGGTCAAAATGGCCATGAAAGAAGAGGAAGCCATTGATGCTAGCTCAATATAATGTATAGTGTGTATATGGTGTATAACTTAAACTTGAGCTTGTGTTGAAAACGAGGCCAAAGATGGTGCTACTTATATAGCGCTTCTTCTCAAGGTGGGGGGTCTTCTCAAGGTGACTTGGGCCGACAGGTTACCTAACACGTAGAAATCTCTGTGCATGGATTTGATTATTCTAAGTTCATAATTAAAGTAGCAAAAGATAACACCAAAGCAAATGATTTATAGAAAATATACAAGACCAATTAGCAAGAAACGCGTTTCTTTTAGCACATATATATTTCCACTGTGGGCGGCCATCGGCGAGTCAGCTAGTTCACACGCTTGAGTTGACATATGTAATTATGTATAATGCATGCGGACCAGAAGCTAGCTCTGGAAATTATGTGTTTTCCCATTATAAAGTATAAACACCTTTCACGTACCGCCAAAAAAAGAAGAAAGAAAGGTTTTTGTTCCTTTTTTGCGATCAAATAAAACAGTCAAGATATTTCTTTTATTTTTTATTTTTTACTTTTACCAAAAAAAGGAAGAAATATCTTGACTATTTTGATGTTTTGATTTTTCAAAATTAACTTTTGGATACTGCTTGCCTTCTTCCATAGAAGAAGATACTTCTCATTTGTGCAAATTACGGTTTGACACATCATGGCGGAGCGAGGAAATCTATCAAGAGAGGTCAACCTCAAATGACAAGATTAACACACAAAATAAAAATAAAAATGATCTAATAATAAAATCCTTTGTATTAATTTATGTACCATTCTAAAATATTTACAACAAAGCATAGGTTGTCGATCTTCAATTTGAATTGTCGCTTTTGAGTTTTTTTTGGGGTAAGGGACATGCGATACAAAAGTTTTCATCTTCTGTAGGTCAACGTTGTATTTTTGTAGTTTTTTCAAAAGATAAGATGGTGTGAAGGGCCAAATTTCATAAATACTGTATAAAAAAATCAAGTACAAACATGTAAAAAGATAAAAAATGCTAAACATGAGAAGGGTCACTCGACCACTTTGAGCCTTCATTGGGTCCGCCTCTAGACATATGTGTAAAAATAATTCATAAAAAATACAGAAAAATAAAACTTATACACACATATTATATTACCATTGACAGAAATGTAGGAGTTCTTACTCACATGGAAGGAGGGAAGTATTTACCTTAGCGTTTTCATATTTTTTTTAAGTCCCACGACTCCCTCCCAATGAGTCATAATGGTATTAGTCAAAAGTTCGAATAGAATACTTGTGGCTAGTATGTATTTGTATTTGAGATTCAATCTCTCGCTGGTCTAAAGAGTCAGAATCAGAATTTATGGGCCCAATTACATCTTTTGGCAGGTAAGCTACTTGAGAAATTTTGAGCAAAAAGCATGGATGGGATGATCTTTTCCTGTGTTTCTACTTTCTACTTTGTACGCGACAGAAACAGTTGGTAGCTGCTATTGATTGCAACATGGTAACTAATTAATTAATTAGAGTTTGACAAATTTACACGCATGAGCCTTTCTAATTCCCCATTTTGATGCTTCATCATCCCTAAAAGCACTCGGTACCCGCCCAATTATTTTTGTATAAATCATGTTGGTAAGTCTCTATTTACCCTTTTTTTTATTTAAGCAAAAGTGTAACAATGGTCCCTAAACTAAGACCAAACTTTACTTTCGTCCCTCATATTGCTAAATTGTTACGGTGGTACTTTAATTATGCCTCCCCTTTCAGAAATCATCATTTCCGTCATCTCAGTCAACTTTTCCGTTAAAAATAAGGGCATATTTATTCTCATGTTTTTTTATATTTCTTTTCTTTATTTTATTGTTTTTTCCTTACTTTTTAAGTCTCTTGCTGTGATATCTGGTGAGAAATCCATGGCCATGCGAGTGCCCAAGTAGGTGTTTACGAAAACTGCTACTTCCACGGTCAAAGCCATTGGCGTCTTAGGATTTAGGAAAGGAAGAGAGGAATATCAAGAAAAGGAGGGCTGTTGAGTGAGAGTGCGGCATCAAAAGAATGGGGGAGAGATTTTTTTTTGGGGGGTAGTGTTAAAGGGGGAGAGAGAAGAGATTTATTTTTAAAATTGTTTGTTTGAGAAGACATTTTTGCCCATGCCATGCCAAGTAAGACTTGTCCATGCCACATTATCATTTTTAATGAAAAAGTTGATTGAGACGAAGGAAAAGATGATTTCTGAAAATGGAGGCATAATTAAAGTACCATCGTAACAATTTAACAATGTGAGGGACGAAAAGTAAAGTTTGGTATTAATCTAGGGACCATTGTTGCAATTTAGCCTTTTATTTATTATCATCAATAATCACATCTCTTGTATTAAATATGTTTTTCTCACCTAAACTAGGCTGTCGATCATGTTTTTCTCCAAGGATTTACAATGGATGTCGGGGACTAAGCTCTGCATGGAGGAACTCCATTGGTGGCTTAGTAGTTATTTAACTAGTTTATTTCTACCGAACACTAAAAAAATAAATGTTTAATCTGTTAATTAATCACACTAACATATTAGGTTACCAAGTTAATTACTTCTGCAATTGTACTTTCAATTCGTACAAATAGCGTATCGTAATTTGAAGTACGATGATCATACAAAGACTTTCGTGTGTGATTTTTCTTCTAGCTAAAAGTGTAAATCAAAGATACACATAATAAAAACTTATGATACAAAAATTAACTTAGACTGAAAGCAAAACATTACATATTTTCAAACTAAAAAAGTGAATAATCATAATCCATATTACAAAGTAGTCAATAGACACCAAACTTTCTAAATTGCTTTAGACTTGTAGTCCAAGTGGAGAAGTTGCAATTGCTTTGCCCTCCACCAGATCAACACAACCCTCCTTCGCTTCCACAGATTCTCTTTTGTAGACATATTTGCAAGAAGCCCACAAAAAAGCCCCTAAGTTTATAGTAGATATGACCAAAAGAAACCCATAGTAATAATCCAAGTGACAGTCATTCAAGTTATTACCGATCCAACTTTTACCTCCATTCCTCCCTGTAATTTTATCCACCATTGTCACAAGAAAGCTGTTCAAAAAGTTACCAACCCCAATCCCACTTGTGAAAAAAGTTGTCCCAAGACTCTGCATGTCCTCTGGAGACTGATCATAGAAAAACTCAAGCAACCCAATTGCATTGAACACATCAGCTATCCCAAGCAGCACATATTGGGGCAGCAACCAAAAAATGCTCATGGGCACAATTTCTTTAGGCCCATTAAGATGGTGCACTCTGATCACACGCATTCTCCTAACTTCCACAGCATAAGCAATTGCAATGGCTATAACTTGGACCACAAATCCAATCCCAAGTCTCTGGAGAAGTGTGATTCCTCTGGGGGTTTTGGTTCTGGCACGTACCAACGGCACAAAATAACGGTCGTACATAGGCACAGAGAGAAGCATTGAGAGGGTCACAAAGCTCCCTAAGGAAGCTGCGGGTATGTGGAATTGTTGGCCTAGGCTTCGGTCTAGGGTGGTGCCTTGCTTGACAAACAAAGTGTTGATTTGTGCCCAAATGGTGCTAGGAATTAGAGTGACAAGCCATATCATGGCCATTCCAATAACTAGCTTTGTTCCTTCAACTTGTGTCACTGTGCATGGAGGCTTCAATGAGGCATCCATGTTGTTGCCATTTTTTATCGCAGCCTTGTCCAAGAACCTATTCAAATAAGAGGCAAATAAGAGTTCGCATCATTACATATCAGAATGTTTGACAAAAAGAAAATTGAAATGATAACCAGCGGAGTAGTGGAGTTTGTGTTTCATGTTTATTTTGTCTGGATTTGAGACAATCAATGGTGGGTACCCAGTGCATGATACCATCCCATTGTGACACCTACTCTACCAGAAACAACTTGGCCGAGAGAGATTGTGACCATTCAAGAAAGATGGTGAGAAAGGATCAAATGGAGTGGTGTGAATAGTGCACATGGGAACAATTTATTAGAAGGAATGGCTAGAAAGAAGCCCACCACTGCCTTAGCGTAGTAGATTTCCTAGTTATATGCGCTTGAAAATTATAATGGGAGGTCCCCACGGCGCCAACCCCCCCTCCCAAAAACCATTTGCTCTGACACCAAGGCTAGAGCTTTAAATTTTAAAGGGGCAAAGGACCATAGAATCCATAAAGGCCTGATCTCATCATTGACCATATCCTTAGAATATTCCATGCCAGATGGAAAAAGAAGGGTATCTTTTTCCCCAAGCTATTAGTATAACTTTAGAATTTGTAATATAAAGCAGAAAATTAAGTTAAATTATAGCTCACCTGAAAATTGGAGTGTGGTACATCTGGCGTTTTCCACTATTAATGTAATGCTGTGGCTCAAACTCATGAAGCTCAGATGGGTTGCAAGGGAGCTGAGCCTTTCGATTTTTATAGGCAGCAATGGGGATTTGAAACAAGTCCCTTGCAGGGCTTTTGGTCTTGCTAACTTTGTGCCTATACATTGGGGTTCCAAAGTAGAAGATGAACAAGGACAATATAAGACCAACTGTGGGGATGCCATACCCTAACCCCCAACCCAAGTTTTCTTGGATGTAAACAAGGCCTAGGGTTGCAACTAAAGCACCCAAGAAAGAGCTGAACATCCACCAGTTGAAAAATGAGGCCTTGAGCTTCTTCTCTTGAGGGTCGAAATCGTCAAACTGGTCTGCCCCAAAGGTGGAGATGTTGGGTTTTGTCCCCCCTGACCCAATTGCTATGGTGTAGAGAGAAATGTAGAAGAACGCAATCTGTGAAGAGGAGGCCTTGTTGCAAATGCCATTGCTGCAGCTTGGCTTGAAGCTTTTCAGTGAAACAGCTATCGTCAGAAGCATCATTCCCTGTATTGATTGAAATGCTTCTGTTCATTAATTTTGAGTTTCTTGCTTGTTAATTAAGAAAATTAACAGAAGTGGACAAATTGGAAGAAATGGGGACAAAAGCTAAGTCATTTCAATTCAATTTGACAAGTTGGTTTTGTCTTTGTTTAAGCAATTGATGAGTAGGGACCCCGGTTGGTGTTTTTATTGATGAGTACAA